GATCGTCGACCATAGTTTGCTGCTAGCCTCACCGCTCCCCGTGCGCTAGGAGTTATTGGGTCGGAGCATGGGTCAGCGCAAGCCAGACTAGGGTCAGCGTAGTCTGGTTAAGCGTAGGGAGATGGGCGTGTTGTTGTTGGGGTTGCAAAAACAGTGGCAAGTCTGCCCTGACCGAGCCCGCCACTGCCGACACAAAGTCATTCACACCGCACTAGACGCAAGACATAGGTACCTACAGAGTACCAAGCAGAAAAAAATATATTGAAGAAAAACTTTTGTCGTCTCATAGGTGTTTGAAATAGGCTCACACTTTGGTTTCGATACTCTGCTGTCTGTTGCATACATAGGTTATACGAAAAGGGCCTTCCGCTATAGTGCTGTGCATAGATCCTTTGCTTGAAGATCCTGCGACGTTTAGTACCGCAGCCAACAGCCCTCGCCCCTCTCCACGATCCTGTGATAGGAGGATCTTAATTTTCGAGGTGACTGGAATTGCGTTTGGCATCAAGCCATCCCTGCGTAGTGTTCCTGCCGAGTCGTAGAACCCTGTAACCTGCTTGGGGGGAGAGGTCAGGTCGCCGGCCGGCTTTCCCAATATATCCCCTATCTCATCTCAAAAGGCCCACCCAGTCTGTAGCAACAAATCTCCGCCCCAGGTTCACGTTGGTGTTCCGTAGATTTGGGCAAACGGTCAAACGGTCAAGCCAATATTGCAATACCTAGTTACTTTTGCGTGCACTTCCCGCTCGGTTGGCCTAATTCTCCCATTCTTTGCTTCCTGACGTGTATGTATGCAACGAGAAGTTGGGCCGCGGGTATACATCCATGTGGTAAACTGAAGGGAGATGCAGGGCATACAAAGTCTTTGGGCTGCGTCACCGTCACACTAACGGAGGAACTCCCAAGCCACGACTCAATAGTGGCGTCAATTCTTTTACATAAACATAAACAAAAATCACTTCAGACCTACCAGGCTAATAGTCAAGGGATCTTAGAAGGAGGGGGGGGGACGACTCCCAGGTTTGAATGTTCAGTTAAAGCAAACAACGGCGAAACCCATATTGCTCCTTCACCGCGCGAAATTGCGAAAACAGGCCCAAACTCTACTGAGAAGTTCCTGAGGTCGCTCCGCGGCATACCATTCATTCGCAATTTCTACAAGGATATGAAGTGCGTTATTGGGATCCAAATCTCTGGTTCCCTAGTCATGGCATGGATGACCCCAAGCTGTGGTTCTAAGGTGATCCCTTCCTGAACAGCGACGGAAGAGGCGTGATATTAGTCTCGGCACTATGACCGGCGGTCCCAACATCAATATTGACCACTACTATACCAATGCACAATTTCTATCCTCTTCACCACTAAATGGCCTGGGAAAGGTTACCAGTTTTGCCTTGGAGTATGCTACCATCGGCCGTTGTCAGCTTTTGCAATATCAACCTGACTTGAACTCTGGTTACGTGAACCAACTGCGGTAGCCAAAAACATTGCACCATGGCAACAGAACAAGTTATACTTTGTCTCGCTATATTCTCAATTGGCCGTCAGTTTCGTGCCTTGCTTTGTGCTGGGATGGGAGGGGAGGGAGGGGAGGGGAGGGGGAGGAGGGAGGGAGGGAGAATATTACTCTTTCACCTGCTGCAAGTTTTCTCTGCCAGGCATGTTGCGTTATCGGAGATATAACCCTCGCTGTCGTGGGCCCAACTATTCCTGAATTCACGGTGGTAAACCAACTGCAGTGAATACGCATGTGTTCGAGTTCCGGGATAGAGTTTGCCTTTTGTGGTGCGTATCGATCTGCAGTTTTGATTCCCTGATGTCCCAAGGTCTGAATTGAGTTCAACGCACTTATTCATTCAGGTGTGACAGATACCACCGAGAAAATGCCAATGCACACTTGCTTTATGTATTTCGTATGCTTTCCATTGGATATCAAGGGGGTAAGCGGCAGATCATGGAGTTAAAGGGCATGCGGTGGTGTGTACGGTTTCTACGGCTGCTTGATGTTTTTCTTACCTGCTTGTATGTGTGCGTCCGAGAGTGGTTGTATGTGTTATCTGTCTTGTCTGGCTTCCCTTGACTTCACCCCACCCACACCACCACCTGAAAACCCCCGCTTGGTACAGTAGTTCCCTTGCGTCCACAACAATTCTTACCATCTCGACCGACACCAATCGATTTACCACCTGGGCTGCTGTCTGGTGCATTTGCTTCACCTTTCCGTCACCCAATTACAGATCCTTGGATTATCATCCCTTGAGGGATAGACACTCAATCCATGGGTTCAAGCCTCCAGAGAAATCCTAGCCAACTAAATACAACCCCGGAAACAACAGAGGGCTACGATGCCATTTACACGGACGACAATAGTAATAAGGCGGCGATACGATCAGTAACCTTCCCTGCGGCAAGGGGTTCCTGTTTGGGGAGCCCAGCGGACAAAGGCGGCCAGCCGCCCTTGCCTGGGCCAGCCGAGTACGAGGCTACACAAGCACAGCCTTCAGTACCTGGTCGTACCGAAGCAGACATGTTGGAGCATCCGGTACTTATATCAGGCTGCAGAGACCTCCATGCAGGGCATGGCGGCCATGGTTCCAGCATCAACAATGTTGCATGTGTCTATGGGGGTATAGAATTTCCCATATGCTGGGAACCATACCGAACACAAACAGCCCAGATTTCAAGTGCAGAAGCTCCAACTGGAATGGGGGATCACAATGTAGAGCCTTTGGAGCTTTATTACCAAAGGATGCTTGGGGTCGATGATCAGATGCAGTGTCACGAACCAGAAAATATCAGCGAGCCCGATGAGGATGAGGGAATGCTGATGATGAAGTCTTCGAACACCTCATTGAAGCTCGAAGTCGGTGGAGCCGGTAGTTATGCAGCAGATGCTCTATCGCAAGAGCACTATGAAGGCCAAAATTATCCCAAACCTGTCCCGCAACACATACCACAAATCCATGTGCAAGCTGTAACACCCCCGGATAGCAAACTAGCCCTCTACGTAACCCAAGACGCTATCTCTACCGGCAGGCCGTCTCCTGCTCCTGCCCCGATTGCCTTGATTACTAGCAATAGACTGCCAGAAAATGTCGGGCTTGCGACTCCTGAGTATACATTGGTCAGTCAATTCAATACCCCCAGTCCGACAAGCTTCCTCCCTAGGTTTATACACAGGGAAGCGAGAGAGGAGGGGGGGCAAGGATTCATCCCTAAGCTTGAGAGCTTCACAAATTGGCCAGGAAATCCGAGCCCACGGGGACAGCAGAAAGTAAGCAGAGCCTATGCCTATCACCCAAGGAGATATACTTCACCAGACTCCGACATCTCGGATTCTTTCCTTCGCGCGCTTATTCCCACCCCAGTTCCACTGGGCAGAGAGCTGACCAATCCTGGTTCTGCCACTATCGAAGACACCGATTATCCTGTGGTCGTTTGCGGTTTCGATTGCCCACCAGAGAATTACATCCATGATTATTTCACGAAAGAGGCTCTACGGTGCAGGTGGGAAATTTCTCAAAGCTATACGCAGTGGCCCAAGCTGAAGACTCCCAATAGGGGTGGTCCTTTCAATGAGATGGAAGATATTTGCGGAATCTTTCTTCGCCAATATCACGCCCGTGGATGAGTATGATGTCACAATGGTTTGCAGACTGCACAATAGGGTTCCTCTGCTTCTCTCACAACCCTAACCTTTTTTCATGTCCATTATTTGCTACCCTTTGTATAAGCTTTCACGCCTTGAATGGGTCTGTGTCATTCCCCGTTTTGTTCTCGATTCACTGCTTTATAATTGACCAATACTATTGGCAAGAAGATTTTCTGCTTTGCAATTGGCCCCGATGGCTATCGGTTTCGTTGGTGTTCAGGCAGGTTCACTAGTAAGCTTTTTTTTGTTCTAGAAAGCCTCGTTGGAGACACATATCCTATCAGGTTACTGTACACGTTCAAAGTAGCTGTTCAGCTCCCTGAGATGAGGTTGGATTGCTTGGACAATGGGACTTGGCTGTGGGATATGTTACATGGTTCTGATTGAATTCGAGACTCTTAACATGGATATACTTAATCACAAACCCATCTCGAGCAAACGACGACCAGCAAAGCCGAATGGCAGTCACAACTGATACATTCATCAGCTGGGCAACCGGAGCTGCTTTATTGTGAATTACTTGGAGTAACAGGCCTAGAGATTCCACTATCTTGACTTGCTATGCCGATCCTGCTCCTGCAACAGAGATATTTATAGGTAGATCTCATTAGTGATTGGTAGGGGGCCGTTGCTTGATTGGTATGCTAAGATACCTGCATGTGCGTCTTGAGGTACTTACATGTACAGCATGCTGTGATACGAAGAAAACCCAGGCACCAGGCCTCGGCCGCTGACAAAAGTTCGGGTGGAATTTCTAGAACATAATTCCTATTCCAAGCATCACGATACATTTATTGTCATAATTTCCCTGCACTTTCCCCCAAACCTATGCATGTGCAGCCACCACATGGTAAATGTGGTTTATATATTGCTGTAGTCCATGATTACCGTATTAGGAAACTAAGAAAAGGGATTGCACGTGCACCCTCCACCAAGCGGCGGTCGCAAAAAGCTCATCCCTTTGAGTAGTACGCTAAAAGATCTTCAGGTCCACGCCTCCACGAGAGGGGGTACTGCCAACCAGATTACCTTTTCTGACCTGCATCCATAGACTTACCAACTCCGCATCCATCCTTGCGTGGAGGTTTTAGATGGTGACAGCATGTCGATCAATGCTTCGGATATGTATGTCTAGAACTGTTTTGTGTCTTGGTTATACAGTAGCATGTTGGCTGTTGCACTTTTGGTTTGATTCAGTTTTGCCGTTTGCTTAGACTTCAAGACAATTATTCTGGTTCATCCTGCTTTAATTGCCTAGACCGAACGCGTAGTCGACATCTTCACTGCTAGATGCTGGTATACATACCATGCTCGAGAATTGTCAGGCCATCATGATAAGTTTTGGGTATCCCTTTGTGGTGTAGTTGGTATCACACTGGGCTGTGATGGAATTTCTCCTTATGCGGAGCACCAGTTCGACTATGGTGAGGGATCCTATTTCTCCTAATGGCTATACTGTTAACAAGACAAGTACGTACTCTTATACTGTTACTTAATTACCATCAAAGAAATATCCAGAAATTTTTCAATAGATTTTGCTTTGATTGTGCCAACCAGACTATAGGAAATCAGGAAATCAGTAGTCTGGTTGAGGAAATTAGACTCTTGCCGGTTGCCCAAAATGGAAAGTGATGGTAAACATAGCCCGGAAGGTGATGGAGCGGATGTATCCATATAAGTGGCTAGATCGCCAATATTTTCCTCTGTTAGATCAAAGCACTAGAACATAGCATACAAGCCTATAGCGGTATCTAGATTAAGCATGAATCATCTCTCCGATATTAAGATCCTCACCTCATAACCTCGTATTTTCACGGGTTATGAGCCTTAGTCTGGTTATATGAGCCTGGTGCTCTACTGAACTAATACTGTCTTTGGTTATGAAGAAGCAAGAAACCGGTCTCTCATCTGCACATGCCATCTCACCGATCCCGGTTAAGAAAAATCAATCGGCAGAATCCGCAACCTAACTGGATCAAACGAAGGAAGTACCAGCTTCATTGACTCAAAGTTGAGCGAGCAAGAGAGGAAGACCTACAAAGGGAAATACAACCAAACCTGCAGAACAGTCGGACCACGCAGATCACGCACTGAGAGCTGTTGATAGACCTTAACACTAAAGAAGCACTAGCATTTATACTTGATGATAAAGTCAAACACGAGGTCACTTATAAGCTTCGACGAGCTGCCCCTGCACTACTCTAAATGAGTGGTTCCCCACAAGCAGGACCAGCGCCCACATCAGACGACTCATATCCACCACTCCCGCTATTAAGTAACGTACAAATAGACCAACAACTCGGAACCTCCAGCACATCCAGCAGGCATGTCAGACTCTTCCAAAAAAAAAAAAAACCCTCGACACCAGGCTATCAGAAGTAGCGACATACCCAGAATGGGTAATGTCGAAAAAAAATTACTTAGACCTGGCTCCAGCGGGGGAAAATGGAGTATGGGACGTACTTACAACTCTACGAGAGGTTGTGCCAACCAGACTAGTAATTACAGGGGAATATGCTAAACCAGCGGAAACAGCCATCCCAAAGACAATGGACCTGGAAAGATATGAAAGCCATTGCCTTACTAACAATTAGGAAAAATCATAAGGACAATATACAAGCGAGGATTGGCAGCCTAGGGTCAGCAAAAGAAGCACTAAAAAAAGCATACGAAAGGAAAATCTTCACGGATCTAAACAGCATATCCAAGATACAGTTCAACAACCGAACACAGAGCATTGAGGAATATACCACCGCCTGAACGTATTTAGAACAGTTTTGTTGGAGTCATTGGAAGAGCTGACTAGACAGCATCCCAAGAGACGGGTTTTGGAGAAGGACTATAAAAATTCGCTGGATCTGACAGAGCCAAGGCCCCCTAGTTAATGTCACTACCCGTTTATTATTCTAATACAGTACATGTAGAGAATATAAGAGCAAAAGACCACAGATACGATGACGCAGCTCAAAGAACTAAAAGAATACATCCTACCAAGAACAGGCCGAAAAGATCTCGTTTGCTAGGCTCGAAGCAACATGGGGCGCGGGGTGGGAAGACCAGGTGGGGGATCTTATGCCACCATGGCCAGCTGAAGGTTCCTAAGGGAGTTCGCACTGTTTTCGGAAAAAACACGCGGACTGGTCAGCAGCTAAGGTCATTTTAGATAATAGGGTCAAGGAGCGGCTGGCCGCCAAAAAGACTAAGAAAGATGTGGTAAACTTCGCGGGATATAGTCTATCCGATAAAAGAAAGGTGCGAGAAAAGAAGGTTGTGGCTGGCTCACAACCGAAATCGCAACTTCAGGTTAGGGAAGCGTCCGCTGGTCGGATACCCGAAGAATACCTGATCTTACCTGCTACTTCTCCTTCCTTTGTTCTTGTTACCAATGGGCCCAATTGCGGATGAAGAGGGCCTTCCTGGCTCTGAAGTAGTTGTGGAAAGGCAGGGGTCTATCTCCCACGGATCTTTTTCAAAGGAAGCTGAGGCCGAATCCGGAACCGAGCCCGGACTGAGTGAAGAGGTAGGGGTGGATAAAGGCAAGGAAAAGACGTTGAATCTGGTCAGACGAGCCAAGCGGAGGTTGTCGAACCCAATTCACGGAAGCGTAGGAGGGCCGCAAACGAGGTCAGCAAGAGGAGGAAATACGGGGTAAAAATACCGGTTATTTATCTAGATGTGAATGAAGGGGTAGTGAGGCTAAAGCGCGAAGCGATTGGAGAGGAGGAGAAGAATGTGGATTTGGCGGTGGAGGAAGCAGTTAGGGTGTTATTTCGGGGGAGGGACGGCCGAATAAGGAAAGACGGGGAGTATGTTGAGGAAAATGATACAGGTGATGAAGGCGAAGGTGGAAGATGAACAATCACACACGTAGAATTTTGTAGTTAAGGCTACGTATGTGATAAGGAATTAAAAGTTCTTTTTTGTAATATGTGCATTTTTGGTCGCAATGGACTGCGAATTCTTAATGAAACTGGGATGTAGAGCAAAGACGCTAATCAGGGTAATCCCACTTGTCAAACAAAACGCGAGTGCCTTTGTTCACCATAGAAAGTTATTGTTATTGTTATTTGTTATTTTTCTCGGAAGAATGTACAACAGTTTTACGTTAGGATGTGCAAGGAATCTCCCTTAGGATATGATGATTTAGCAATATATTACACTTTTCACGCTTTCGCAAAATAAGTCACTGAACGGGAAACACTCACAGAAGCTCAATCAGCTGAACTTATACGAGTCAGTTATATCAATCAGTTAACCGACAACCTCGCCGTTATCTTTACTCGATTGTTGGATATTCTCTCTTAGTTTGCCCTTATCTTCAAGCTCTACCAACCTCAGAGACCTCCGGTACCCCAGTCACTTATTGTATTATCAGAGATAATACGACTCGCTTTATAACAGAGGTATTGAAAAGTACAAGGCTCGCAAAGTTGGAAGAGGGTTCATACAAGAAGCAGATGATGAGAAACTTATGTATAAGCCTAGAAACCTTCAAAATTCTCCTAATTAGAGCCCTACACCGAGCATGGGCAATTCAACAATGGGATATCATAGCGGCCTACCTCCAAGCACTACTTAAGCATGATGTATATACATCACTGATGTAATAAAGGAGAATACTGGAAGCTCAATAAAGCCCTGTATGGACAATTGATCGGAATAACAACCATTTTAATGCCCACGACGAACAGCGAAGGGATACTTCACCTCACCAAGGCCAGCCAAATTCCCCAGACGCAGGTGCCATATAGAACACTGATACCATAATTTCCGACAACAGGAACGACGGAAATACCTCGAGCTCAAATCCATCCTGGGAAAAGACAATCTAGCGGATCTCCTAACAAAACTACACATATGGGAATTATCAAGGAATGGAAGAGGAAATGGATGAGTTCGCTTGGATAGAGAGATGGGTTATGCCTGACTGGGAAGAGCTGGAAAGCGAAGCAAGCATAAGCTGCTCGGAAGGGTGTCCAGACAGCTATGTATTAGGATAGACCAGCTCGAGTAAGGGAGGGTTTGGGCTTGTTTAGATGGTAATTCAGAGACTCATTGAAGGTCAAACTGTAATTTTCCTCCGTCATCCATTAACCAGACTAGTCATCCATCATCCACTCCCTGAGAAAGCGACGGGCGAAGTGTAGGGCGTTGATATCGGAGGGAAGGGTTACCCGCAAAACAAGCAAAATTAATTAGTTTACACCAGTTACCCCAAACTCCTTGTGAATCACGTGGCTGACGCGTCTCAGGACACGCCATAGCACGGGCGCAGTAGCACAAATTTATAGCAGGCTCTATTCATTTGAATTGCATCAATTCCTTCATGCGTTCTTCATATTGCTGGTCATTTTATTGGCTTCAATAATAAAAAAAAGAAAAGAAATAACCGTACGTCACGCTCTCTCCAGCAGTACAAAATTTGCGCTCGCATAAGGGCGTTTGAGCCAGTTTGATTTCACGGCGACTGATTAGGAAGTACCCCTCTGGACCTCTGGAGATGTCCCTAAATAGAAACAGCACGGATTCCCATGTGGCCCCGGCGCCGGCAGCATCGCACTCTCAACCTGCTCCATCGAAAGTGCTCCAAAGGACTAATTCCGCGCCTGTGTCGCAACAGGCCCACTTTCCGCGATTCCGCCCACGTGTGACCAGCAGAATAAATGCCGATATCGGAGAGCAAGAGGTATACACAACTACAGAAATTATCCGAACTAGAAACGGCGGTACGAGGATCCGTATTGTGAAGCACGACGCAAAGACTGGGGACAGACTGACGCCCTTTCTGCCATCCGACGAATCTAATTCCGAGGAAGAGCAGCCATCCGTGAAGGTTTCCAGTGACTGTGCCTGTACCACTACAGCAACAGCTGCAACATCTAGTCCTGCTACAGTGAGGGAGGCTAGTAGTGACGGGGATACAGAGAAAGCTGTGACTGACAAGTTCGAGCCTACCTCAACGGCTGCAACAGACCTCAGAAGCCCCGATCGAACAGAAGAGGCCGAAATGGATGGGAGCAGGCATGAAGGCGACTATTGCGAAGTCACCGATTTAGCCCAGGAGGTGGGAGACGATGAGGTAGAAGAAGATGAAGAAGATGGGAAAGAGGACGGGGAAAAGCAGCAATCTGCCAAATATCACACTAGAGGCGTTGAAAACGGACATGCTCTTGCGAGTAAAACCATCAATATGTATGAGAATGGGGACACAAGGCATCAGCATCACACACAAGCGGATTACTTTGAAGGGGCCCAAGTAGAAGAGAATGAGGGAGGAGAGGAGAGTGGGGGAGGAGAGGAAGGAGAGGAGGAAGGGGAATACGATGAGGAAGATGATTTGCATGGAGACGATGAGGACCATGAGTCGGTGGTCTCTGCTTACTCGGAAGATCAATCTGATAGCGAGGAGGACGTTGATGGTGTAGTCCGTGAG